TATCCGTCGACGGGTCGAATTCTAGATCTTTTTTCTCCTCGCCTGTCGCTTGTTCGTTCTCACTTTGCTTCGTCTTTTCTGTCGCGATATTTTTCCACGCTTCGATGTTGCGAAATATATCGTGTTTCTGATTTTTAAATCGAATCGAAAAATTTCGGCTCTCGCTCCAATTTTCTGAAGGAAGACTCTCGTAGCTCGAATTGCTGCTATTTCGTATAGTTAACCAGCGTTTCAATTTGTAAGCGTTGCGTAAGGCGCAATATGATTCAACGTTGGTTCGAAATCCGTGATGCGTGCAACATTGTCCGCAACCTCCGAAATCCGGTAGATTTTTGAAAGGTGGAGAAATTCCTTCCAGATTATATACGTTTCTGGAGAGTAGATTACTCAAATAACGTGGCTTCTCTTGTCCTCTGCTATAGATGTAGCGTACGTGTCGTGTAATGGCTCATAGATGTATCGTAAAGTATGTAGGGTTAACGTCTCCGTCGAACCATTCGATTCCGTGATAATTTCGTGTAAGCCAGTTGTTTTCTCGTCTTATACTCTCGGATAAATCGCCAAATGGATAAGGAGGCCTCATAATCCAGTGTCCGGTGATCGTCTCATCAATCGCAAGAACCGCGATTTCTTTTGGAATAAGTTTTTTTCGACGTCGCGAAAACCTTGTATGTCGATGACTATATCCATTATGATGTTCGAATTTTCGCTACTCTTTTTACGTCACGAAACGTCGGCACCGGTGTCATGAGTAAGACTGAAGCTTTTTCGTCATTTTCCGTACAAATAGATGAGAAAAAAATGTATAGTGGGGGAAAATAATTTTCTCGAGGAAGTCATAGTTAACCGAAAAAGTCGACAATGACTTGACGCGAGGAGTCGTTTTCTAAAACGTTATCGAACTCAGCATAGACGATACAATTAATAGTCACGGAAAGAGCTTTTTCGACTCTCACATCTATTCGTAAGCTTCCACGTTTCACGAGATTCCAATGTCCCGCACAATTAGCGGATAGATCCGGAGTAAGATCGAAAGCGAAAAGAGTGTAGCTGTTGGCGTAATCGTCTCTGCTTATAGAATTACCCTCGTTCAGAAAGTGAATACCGGTTCCCGAGAATAATGTGTGATAAGCTTCAGCGTAAAGCTGCTCGTCTTTCGAAAAATTTGGCTGTAATGGTCTACTGGGAATTTGCATGCCATCGGCGTACAGCGAAAAGAAATTTATTCCATAATTTTTGAAATTAAACGGGTTCAATTTTCTTCGCCGTTAAACGCTTTGTTATCGACAAAGCCGACTATTATTCGTTTCGGCAACTGTCCGAGTATTGCATTGTCTATCGATTCCCCCATGACGCCGGCGTGTATTGTGAATGTTTTAACTTCGACTCTCGTAAGGGGGTACTTGGCGGTAGTTTTACTCAGCATTCTAGCGTGTGAGAGTAGCACACCCGGACTTATTTTTGCTCTTCTTACGAGTAAACTGGCATCGAGAATACGTATTTTTGATATCGTTCTACTCTCCATAAGGCAAAATGAATCTTTGGAACGTACGAGTCTCATTCTAACTTCCACTCCGTTAATTAAAAATTTATCTTGATTAAAAACGTCGCAGTGAAGGTGGCCTATGAGATCCAGCGCACGATTTCCTTGAATGTATTTCGCACGTCTCTCGAGTGCCGTATTTGGATTTGACGAGTCTAACGTGTCGTCCATGTAGCCGGGAATATCCGCGTCCCATAAGCAAGAGGTTAGATGGGAAGTTTTTGCGGGTGAAGCATAATTTAATAACGCCTCGATGTACGCGCGGTAAGCGTAAGCGTTGTTTGGTGGCGACACGAGTTTTTGATTGAAATATACGTCGATTTGGTTGAACATGGAATGCAGTAAATGATTTACGGGCCCTACTTTTGCCGCGTCGGCGGCTGCGACCGATGTGCTCTCTCCGCGTTCGCTTTCTACGCGTATGCGAAGGCTCAACATGGTGTGAGTGAGATCCAGATAGTCTTCTCCATGGCCGGGTATGACGAATTCTATGGGTGAGTCGTCCGCGAGTGAAGTTACGGGTTTGTAATAAATCCATTGCGAACTCTCGATGCTGGTTTGCGTAGGCGGTAGAGAGAAGAAATCGAGTTCGCTCTTTATACACTCGCTTGAGTGGGTATGAAGAAAGGACATGCTTTTCTCCAGCTACGAATTCCTATCTCAATTAAGAGAATATGTCGGATACGTCGCGTTTCTTGACTCGATGTTTCCTAGTGGATGGTTTTTTGGTTTTTCTTCCTGCAGGGCGAATTTTCTTTTTCTTTTTTGTCACTTTTTTGCTCTTCTTCTTTTCTGTGGTACCTCTCGATGATTTTCTTTTGACTGCCCGACGTTTACGAAGCGCGATACGACTATCTCGACCACCGAATGGAAACTGAAGTGCTGCGGATTTTGCGGATATTTTATATCCCGCCCCCCTCATCAGGGAATTTATTTTTTCTTTGGCTTTTCTCTTCAGATTAGTCCTCGATTCCGCGAGACGACTTTTGACCGCTTCCTTCAACGGTTTATTACTTGCGACGTCTTCTATTACGTTAATTCCCGCACGTAAAGCTTCTTTTCCGACAGCACGTGCTCCTTTATTTAGGTAAGGTAGTATTTTTCTGAATAGTCCTCCGAGAAAGCTTCTGATTTCATGTCCGCGTTGGTAGGGCGAACCGACGAAAACACGTGAAATTCCACCTCTCCTACCGATGTCTCGCGCATCAAAATACTCCTCATATTCCATCGCTGCTCATTTCTAACTAAAGACTGCCACTATATCGACACGCTGGCGTACACGAAAGAAAGAAAGAAAAAAAGTTATTGCTTACGTTTAAAGTGCAGCGTCACTGTCAGCGTTCCGAATTCGAATGGAATTTTTTTTCCAAGGTGATCTCTTATATCTATTTCGATCGTTTTGAAATTCGTTCGTCGCAATGGGATGTAATTTGGAAATGAGAAATGCTTCACCAAATTTGTACCAAATGCGTAATTATGGCCGCGTATCTCGACCGGAACTATCCTGAGAAGAGGAGTACGTACATCACCTGTTATATAAGGCTCACAAATATCGCAATAAACGAACATTTTATCCGGGATACCGCGCCACAAACTATAGGATTCGCTACTCCAGAAACCCTCCATAAGTCGTTTTCCCGTCTCCTTATTAAATCCGTGAGTAAGAAATATTTTCTCTTCTGTTTTATTGGAATTAAGTTTACGTATCGCGAGCCTGGTATAAAGCGGGTAATTATTTGTGGAAATTGCTGCTGAGAAACCTAACATTCGTAGAAGATTATCAGAAAAGTTTATATGATGTAGCATTTTGCACTTCTCATCGCAGTTAACACTTATCAAGACTTTGCCACCAGTCGCTTTTTGCTGTTCAAAATAGAAATGCGATTCGGCAACTTTACACACGGCATTAATCGCATCAATAAGCTCATTGATGTCGCTGTAAATTCCGTTTGGAAATGCAACTTCTTTCACCGTAAACATATCGCTCGTTCCCTCATCGGGTTTAACGTCGACGAATCTGATCGTATTTTCGTTATGACGTACATGTAAAAAGGTACAGGGAAATTGAATCTCACTTATCGCAACCTCCCATTGTCCGTGCAGCACTATCGAGTGAGGTAATTCCGTGATGAAGGACGACGTTGTATTATTAGGAAAATGACGAACTACTGTTGCTCGGAAGTACCAGAAGAAATTGTTCCTCCTCCATCGCGAAGAGAAATTAAACTCGAAGCCGGAATCCAACTATCAAATTTACTGGGATAACCTCGCCAACTAACAAGCACTTGCTTATTAGCTCCTCGTCCTCTACTCTTTATCACGTGATCGACGATAAACTGTTCCTCCTGTAAGTTTTTCTCAACTCGAGCTAATTCTTGCTCATGAAAAATACCGTCTATGACTTCGTCTGCCAAATCGCTCAATTCGTACACGCGCGGTTTTCGCCAATCGAGAATACGATAAATTCGAAATATCTCCTCGCTCCAGTTAGCTTCGTATCCTTTCTCGAAGGCACCTTTCGCTCTACTGATGCGAACGAGATCCCCGACACGATATTTAATCGTTTCGGACCCTCGTTTCTTTAATGATTCGTCGTTTTTTTTCCAACGACGAGCTATATTTTCGCGAGCGATATGCGCGTTTTCTCTCGTTACTACCGCTGGTTGCATTCTCGTGGACGAGTGATTGTAAGCGTGCACAATGTCCTGCAGAACATCGATGTACCGTCGCGTATTTTTATGCGTGAAATAACGCCACATTCGCTGCTACAGTGTTCTGTTGAAGCGTTCGACTATGGCGGCTTTGATGTCCGGATTGCGCGTTACTCGAAAATGAATGTCGTTTTCTTTAAGAAATTTCTGCATTGATTGCGGGACAAATTCTTTACTCTTGTCCGTTTGGAAGTATATGGGTACTCGTCCTTCGCTTTTCGCTAGTACGCGTTGAAAAGCTTTTATCACGCAGTTACTCGTTTTGTCGCATAGCGGTTCTACCCAGACGTATTTACTAAGTACATCGATAATCACCAACAGATAGGAATAACCGTTATTGTAACTTTTTAAATTTCGGAGTTCGATCAAATCCCCCTCCCACACATCGTCAATGTTTGTCACTCTGTAATGCAATCGTGGAAATTTTCTGCGCAATGGTCGGTGCAACGTGTACGCGTCTTGCGATTCGAGCCAGCGTACGACTTCTCCCCGTGAAAAATTCGGTTTAACTGCACGAGTTAGATTATCCACCGCTGAATATCCGGCATAATGCGACGGATCGTAGTATAATTTTTCAAACGTCATCGTTATTTTAGTTTTTTCCAACCGAGTAAGCGATTTTTTCTCGTCTGTAAAGATACGGGGGTATTAGTTTTTCGTGGAAGAAACGGCGAGCGCTCGTCGTCTGTTTCCTCTTCTTCTTTGCGATTTTTTCGTTTTTCTCTTTCCTCGTGCTCTCGATACAATCGACGAGGAACTCGTGTTTTCGATATAAAAGGCGTGGAACTCGCACGTGGTCGAAGTTTTACGCTGTTTAGAGTAACACCGTGCGTGGACAATAACGTTTTATTTCTCACTAGCGCGGAAGATATGTTCAACGCACGGAATAATCGCGCAAACTGATTTCTACCCGTTGCTTTCACAGTTTTTCTCTCACGCATCGCGTCGTTTATCAAGTCAGTGATATTAGAATCTTTCACGACGTTACCTTCTATAGTCAGATTACGATTCCGCGCTCGTCCCAGTTAATTCTACCAGGCACAGCTTTTTGAAGCAAATGTTTCAGCAGTAAGCGTGCATGCTTACGATAAGATTTCGGTACGCTTTCCACTATTTCTTCAATGTTTTTCATCCCGTGATTATGCTCACTCGAAATTTCGAAATTTTTCGTAATAATATTGGCATTAGGGATGGAACGTGATGACGGTGGTAGATCGGATGTTTGCGTGATATCTTGAAAAACGCTATCGTTCGTCATCTCGTTATCAATGGAAGCATCTCGTGTAGCGTTGTCTTCTGCATTTTCGTTTTCGTTGCGTGCGTCTTTCTGCCTTCGCGTTTCTTGGACAAATCGCAGGTATCGCCATAACGCCTCTTTGTACATTTTCCATCTCTCGCTTTCGTCACGCGGCCAGTCGGAATTAAGAATACGGCTCATCTCCGCATCGAGTCGTGTTAGATGAGTTCCGGGAGTTTGCGTTGTATTATTAGTGCTCGTAGCGTTATCCGAATTTTGCGATACTGTGATTTCCTTTGATTCTCCGCCTGTGAATGATGTCGGATTCTGACGTAGCTGATACTGCCTTCTCTCGAGATTTACCGTCGAAATTAAATTATCTTTTTGGCCCTCTTCATAACGTTTTATCGCTACTATTTCGTTCCTTCGAGAATTAGCGATAATAAGGTCGATAATATAGGTCCGATAATATAAGGTAAAACTCCGCCTCGCTGCACCAGAGCTTTCTTTTATCCTTCCAATTTCCGCGTTTTACAGCGATGCGACGCAGCGGCGTTTTGTATTTACTTAACCGTTTTTTTTCGGATCGTTCAAGCGAGACGTTTCCCTCGAGTGTATTAAAAACACATTCGCAAATACAATGAATAAGTTTTTCGTCCTCGCCACGTAGGAAGGTCGTGCGTTGATTTTTGTTCAGATGATAGAGGGCTGCGAGAAGACAGGCGTTTCTTTTACCGATCGAATGCGTGGCGATTTTCGTCGCACTGTGTGATTTCTCGTCACTCGCCTTCATCGCGAGAAAAGTATACGACTGACTCGTACTATCGCTTGTACCCGTCTTTTATACGAATCCGTTAGAAAATGACCTACGGGGCACGTAAGCGTAATGAGTCGTATCTTCGGGAAAAATGCACGTGCGAAATCGATATTCGTCCGGAGTTGATTGTTTCAGATCGAGCAATAAATACCCGTGAGGTCTCGACGTAGCGTCGTAGTATGCCTCTTCTAGGAATTTCGGATCGTCGGGATAGACTTGACGCGCTAAATGACGAATTTGAGCGCGATCACGTGGATTTTTGAAAACGACGATGTAATTCGCGTTGAGCGATATATCGCGTTGGCCACGACCTTGATGGAAGAGATTCTGCGAGATAAGAATAACACTGAGATTCTTGTGATGACTGCTCTTGGTAAAAAGATCCACGATTACGTTGCTTGACGACGATTCTCTCATAAGATCGTCGATTATCACTAATTTCGGAGAAAGCGGATCGTTCGAGTAATCTTCCGAACGAGGTAAACCCTCGCGAAATTCAATTATATTTTTCTTTATCGCTGCTTTACCGCTGTCGCTTCCCCAGATCTATTCTTAGTCCACTTTTTCACGCGTATCGTATTTTAACTGACGATAGGCTTCCTGCCATTCCGCGTAATAAAACAAAACTCTCTCGAAACG